AGGTTCATATACTGAAGTGTTTACAAAAAAAAGTAATGTCCCCGATCACATGCTTAAGTGTATGTATCGAAGATTGACATATTATCTATCAGAGTTGACGATTAAAAATGAGCAGTAACATTTTGATTTCTTTACGGAAAGTATATGTTTGAACTGATTATTAAATACATTAATACCAGGCAATAAACCAAGGTTTTTTTATATACGATACCATCAATAGCCATGGATGAAAAAATCTCTTAAACATTTATAAGTATGCAATTATCTTGAGTTTCACGGCTGATTTTGCTCGTAAGTTTCAATTATAATGGTGTTTGCCAAATCACTTCGGTGTTGTTCAACACAATAACTAGGCTGAGTTACATACATGTTGCTTTCCAGACATCAATAACAGTGTATATTCCTGCAAACAGAAGGAACTTATTTCTGTATATATATCCGAAACTTGACCTGAATCTAAAATCAAAATGCCAAATCTCTGAAGATAACTATATTTCGACATAACATTGTAAGATTTGCTTCAAACCGTGGTCAGCTGATCAATTACAATGCACTATAACTTGTGATTCATTGGATTAATGTCCAGCAGACAATATCAAATGTATATTCCGGAAAATACCACATTAAACATTCTGTCAAACATAAATGTTGGTAGAATTTGTAATGTGGCGGATCGATGGAAAGAGCTGGACAATCTGAACACTAATAGAATAAAGAAACAACATTATTTTGGTATTGAAAAGATAACATGCAGACCACCTGAATATTTTTTAAGGATTTGTTAGCACATATGAAAAGCGGTACTCTTACAAATGTGAAACCTGGTGTGATGTTCCCGATTTTTGAGGTGGCAACAGAAAGACGAATTTCTGGGAGAATATGAAGAATGCGCAAGTGACTTTACCTATAGAATTAAACTATGAATATCTGGTATGATTGTCAATGAGACGCCTATCAATAAAAGACCAAATGATGGAGATGTGCAAGTAAGCAATTTAATATCGTTTAGGAAGCTGTTAAAGGTCCCGACATACCAATCGAACGCAATTCCGACGCTTTTCTCTTTTCTTTTTGCCAGTTCCAGCAGTCGCTTCTTTTTTGCATATCAGTATTGTATCATTGTTTTACCACAATATTTATGACCTACCCTATTTAAATCAAGGACATTTTTCCTATAAATGCATACTTTTGTTTTACCTAATATAACTATGATAAGTTTTAAATTGCCTTGTTTCATATAATTTCGTGGACTAGTATATGCATTATATATCATGAACATCTCAAATTGAAATTTTGTATAAAAGTAATACTTTATATTAAAACTCAAAACAATAAGTAAGTTTACGATACAGGTAAAATGTCAATCGATTATATTTTGCTTGTTCAAAACCTGTTTTAAAACTTGTCTTGTGGATTTTCGCGTTACTGTTTTTGACTAAACACAAATGATTTTAGTAGGTGGATTTCGCACTTGAAGTAGCCATTAGTATCAAACTTTTAAGATTCAAGACGGAAACTGAGAACTACGATGCTGGCAAGTTGTAGGTGTGGCAAATACAGGTCTAAGTAGCCGTAGAATAATGGTCAATTTTGGTGTTAACAACACTATTATTATCAGGCTCATGCAGAAATACAGATACACTGGCTCAGTTGAAGACCGCGACTTGAGCAGGCAGTCCACGTAAAACTACTCCTGGAGAAAACAGAAATCTGTCCTGGCAAACAAGATTATTGAAACTTTTCTTTTCTTCTGATCAGCTTCGTAGATTTTTGGCCTATTGAGGGTGTAATAATTAGATAAACTTCCAACGCCATGGTGGAAAATGAGTATGACGAAATGACAAGCAACATTCTTAAAAACACAACTTGGAAAACTTAAGACTTTACGACACGAACATCAAAAAAGAAAGAGTAAGCATATTCTCCTTCACATGTGACGTTCGTCAAAAAACAATGATCCAACAAGAATATATTAAAAAAATTCAACATCATGGAAATCTATAAGTCTTGTCATTAATACTGCCTAATAACATATTAAGCAAACAAATGAAGAACTGTCTTGAAACTCGAGTTTAGTTTCAGAAACATTTAGATTAAGATTATATTACAATGTATTCATACACTTGTTTTTAAAAGAGAGGCAAAAGATACCAAAGGGACGTTCAAACTCATAAGTCGAAAATAAACTGACAACGCCATGGCTAAAAAATAAAAAGACCAACAGACAAACAGACAAACAATAAAAGTTCACAAAACACAACATACAAAACTAAAGACTGAGAACACGAACCCAAAAATAAACTGAGGGTAATCTCAGGTGCTCCGGAAGGGTAAGCAGATCCTGCTCCACATGTGACACCTGTCGTGTTGCTCATGTTAGTACAAACCCGGTAATAAGTCTAACTCGGTTGGTCACATTTTGGAAAAGGGGGGACGGTATTGTAGTTACAACATTAGGAACATATCCGCTATCTTCTATAAAACGGATGTTCCATAACGGTCAACCAAATCGTGATGGCGTCCGTAAAACTTGCGAAGGGATGATTTGAGCTTCACCACTTCGAACTCTTGGTTTAATAGCTTCCTTGTGAAAAAATAATAAATAATTTCATCTAGTTGTTGGTTAGCGGTTACATCTAGTAATGTTGAAAAATGTGTAAACTATTTCATAAACAGTTTCAAACAAGACAATAATCGTGGTGTTTATTCAATATTCTACACAAATCTAATTTGAGTATTGTACAACATTGTTTAGTAATCTCTATGACGTTTGTATATGTAATGCAGTGTAGAAGCGGAAATGATTGTTTAGAATAGCATTGTTCTATTTCAAAATCTACAATGTATATCAAGAAAATCGATCAATTATAACATAACAGGATTTTGTACAGCCTACTTTATAGTATTAGTTTGTATCATTGATGAAACCCGTGTAGTGTCCTATACCCGTGTAGTGTCCTTTAGTTGTTTTTATCATGACCGGGCTTTGTATAGCCTACTTTACAGTATCAGTTTTTATCATTGATGAAGCCCGTACAGTGGCCTAAAGTTGTTTAAAATCGTCATCCTTTGATCTCCAGTTTCATTGGCAATCATAACTCTTTTTTTGTTCATTGATTATTCAAATGATACAATGATATGAGAATAAAAATATAACAAAAATACTTTTTTTTTATAAAAAAAAAGTTCATGGGAAGATACCAAGATATTATTAATAAATATTCGTATCAACTTCACAAATAATACATGATGGTATTGAAGAAAAGATTCTAGGTATTAACGTAGTTTATCATCTTAATCACGTGTAATAGTGGTCTTTTATATGTCTTTGTATATTTTTAACCTTTACTGTTTAGTCCATTTTTTGTTATATACTTTTTGCGTGGCTCTGAATTTATACATCTCGCCATTATCTTATTGTGCTATGGTCAATTTTTGTATTCTGGTCTTTCATATTTGCTTATGTGCTTTGTCTATATAGTGTCTATATGCAGCTTTGTTTCTCTTTGTTGACATAGTTGTATGTTTTTATAGTTATTACGATAATAACACAATGTTGACAGATGTACCACAGTTTTTGTCATTTTTACCTATTATGTCGGTTTGTTTTGCTTACACATTGTTGTCAATATAATGAAATTATATGCGACAATTATACAAGTGAGTGGTTCGGCTAGCTATAAAACCAGTCTTAATCAACCATTATTGACAGAAGGAAAAGTCAGGAATATGACAGTTGTTTTCCATTCGTTTGATGTGTTTGAGCTTTTTGGGATTGCCATTTGATAAGGAACTTTCCGTTTAGAATTTTCCGTGGAGTTCGTATTTTTTGCTATTTTACTTTTTTCAATATTATAGTATAAAAAAAAACTCTTGGGATTTCAATTTAAGGATAGATTATATTAAGAGCAATTTGCAAATTTGACAAACTCTGTCGGAGACTCTATCATTTTATATAAAACTTAGTATCATATGATATTTGTTGATACATTTGTTCTAATAATGTAACGCTGCTTCAAATACGACCAACGTATACGTAGTGTGATGGATTCTAGCAGTAAGGGTCTATGATCAATTGTTACTTTAATTATTAGTAAAGTTCATAAATTCGGTTACAATAAAATATATTAAGATTATAACTGTCTCGGTCAATGTTGACTAGTTGTAAAGCCTCTTTATCTATCAAACTCAATTCCATTTAGTGTAATACAACTCACAAATCTTCGTGACAAATAAGACGCTTTAATTTGCATATACGCTCTTGAGTTTTCCTCTTCTCCCATTCCCTCCTCAATGTGATCAATCAATTTTGAAGAGGTATAAATGTATGCCCATGTGGTAACTGATTTTCACTTGTGTTCACAGTTTTTTTTTTAATTCCTATTTAACATTATGTATAAGTAAGGATCTAAATACACTGTTGATTTTTTGGGGTTAGAATTTGCAAGCAGTCAATGTTTCGGTAAAACTCGGGTTAAATAATAATTCGGCTTGATAGTCAGGTTATAAAAAAAAGAACAGACGAGTTTAATAATCGCTTCTATATTTAATGTATAATTGTAGATACATATTTCATGGCACAGGAAGGTTAATGGATATATTAAATTAAATATGAAGTGATTTTAATTAAAATGATATTCATTTTTTTTATATTAAAATAAGACGTTTTAATTTACAATTATATTCTGATTTCATATCATTTAATATTATACAAAATCTCTACCCAGGTGCCACTCAAATGAGCAATCTTGGACAGCAGTCAATATGTACCTGTAGTTTGCCGTAAAACCTGTTCTTATAGAAAAGTTTTGTAGTATATTTCCGTTTAAATGGAAGTAATACACTCGGTTTACTAAACATAGAAACAAACATTGAAAGAACATCAACAATATATATATATATATATATGATGACTAATCAATGCATTTTGACAGCTAAGATAAAATATATTGCAGTATAATAGAAATTGAACATGATCAATGTATAAATGGACTTTCGTTTTATTCCAAGTCTGAAGTAAAATGAATTTACAGTAAATTATATGGGCTTGTTTATACAAACTAAGTTTTATTACAGTAATTATAATATGTATGCAATATACAGAATGTATTTTTCTGCTTACGATTATTAGATATCACATACTGTTTAAAAATTTTAAACAAATTTATTGTTTTCAAAGCATGCATACATAGTAATAATTACTTATATGCAGTTACTGATTGTGAATATATTCTGATAAAAGTCTAATGGTGCATGAATTCACATATATATGATAACAGAGTGACACAAAAATGATCACCCCATCGAAAATTAAACTCTTTCCAAATCACCATGCATAACTGATCCTGTGGTCTATTTGGTTGTCCAGATTCCATGTCACAAAATGACATCGTTTGGTTGGGTTGACTTACCCATTCCATGTCAAAATCCTTATGAAAATTAAAACCTCCTATCCAGTATCCCTCGACTGAAAAAAAATATTTGCATCATATTTTATAAATTCATCTTTTACATCACAAAAGTAATCAAACTAAAATAAATAAGAAACAATATGTTGATTTATATCATTATCAAATAAGCGTTGAATCGAATTTTGTCTGAATCAACAAGAAAATTTCGTGTTGCAACTTATTCTTTGTCTGCCTTCAAAAACAAGTCATGAAAGTAATGATAGGAATGATAGTGCTCTGCTATAATGAACACTTTTGAATGAGTAATGCCGTAATAATTGTCGCACTGAATGAAGTATTATATACGACATTGTCAATTTACAAACAAATGTTGAAAAAAACAGAATACCCGATATAAATTGTTTAATCCGTTGAGAAGCACACACCAATGTTAGAGTGGTTGGATGCATATAGGAGCGTTGAAACATACAAAGGAGCAAAATACATACACAAATCCGAAAACGAAGGCGGGAAAACTATTCTTGTGAAATTGACATTTTTGTTTGATTAAAGACATGCCTTATAAAAGTATGACATCAAAGTAATTAACTTTTTTCGAATGATAACAAAGAAGATGATCTGGTTGCTTAGGTAAAATCGAGATGGCTTAAGCCATTTTTCATTCATTGAATAAAATTGTGCAATTCCAGATCCTGCATTATAAGCAAATGGGATTAAAAAAGAATCAACTTCATAACAGAAAAGAAATAATAAGGTTTATTCATACAAGACACAAAATCGGTCGCTCTTTCTGACATGTCACTAAGTGGACAAATTATTGACCTCCAAAATTATCGACCCTTTTTCCATAGATATTTCCATATTCAAATCATATGAAAAAAATTTATATAAACTTCTGTTATGATTGTCCTTTAAAATGAAGTAAAATGTAATACTATTGATTTATCATTGATACATGTATGGTCATAATTATAAATTAACTGTTTACAAAACTTGAAATTTCCGATACTAAGGATTTTCTACCCAAGAAATAGATTGCTTGTGCTTTATTTTGCAATATATTTCGGAATTTGGGATCTATTCTCTACAACATCGTACTTTATTTTGCCGTTTGAATTTTTTTTATTGTAGACAAAACGTGCGTCAAGCGTTCAAAATTTTAATCTATGATGAGTTTATTATTATCATTTATTTTGCGTTACTATTTATCCATTACAATCCTAAAAAATAATAATTATAGAATGAATAATCGAAGAATTTAAATAGAGAAAAATATTTAACGAGTGACCGAACAACACATTAGTTCACGAATGCGCGTAGCGCATGAGTTAATTATTAGTGTTGTTCGGTCACGAGTTGAATATTTTTCGATATTTGAATTCTTTGATTAGTTATTCTTTTAATTACATTGGCAAATCAAATGGCTTTTTTATGAAATTAAAGTAGAAAATGTAAGGCATTATATCTTTTTCTACGCATTCATAATTTGATTTGAGCGAAGGTTGTCGACGTCTTGACAACGCCTATTGTTGTATGACGTCAGAGGAGTGAAATAACCACGTTTATTTCACATGTGAAATTATCGGTTTTTATTTTACTGGGAAATCAATGTAATTCATTGCAACCAATATAACAGATACAAATATAATCTTGAGTCATACACACTGTAGTATTTAGAACAGAGGGACGAAAGATACCAGAGGGACAGTCAAACTCATAGATCGAAAAAAAAACTGATAACGCTATTGCCAAATTTAAAATGACAAACAGACAAATAATAGTACAGATGACACAACATAGAAAACTAAATACTAAGCAACACGAACCCCACCAAAAACTGGGGGTGATCTAAGGTGCTCCGGAAGGGCAAGCAGATCCTGCTCGACATGTGGCACCCATCGTGTTGCTTATGTTATTACAAATCCGGTAAATAGTCTAATTCGGTAGGTCACATTCGTGAAAAAGGAAGGGTATTGTAGTTACGACATAAGGAACATATCCGATATCATCTGTGAAACGGTTATTCCATAACGGTCAACTAACTCGTGATGGAGTCCGTAAAATTTACGAAGGGATGATTTCAGCTTCACCATTTGGAACTCTTGGTTTTATAGCTTCCTTGTGAGCAGCAATCCTCTATCAAGGAAATCATGATAGGAAATACAAGCCCGGGAATATCGTATCAATTGGGAGATATATACTCCGTATGCAGGCGCTGCTGGAATGTTGCTACATAGAAATGGAAAGTTTACAATTGGGAAGATGAAATAATCTCTTTTGTCGTAAAGTTTTGTTTTCAACCGACCCTCATTGTCAATTTCTGGATGTAAGTCAAGATATGAGGCAGACTTAACTGTATCTGTAGTATCCTTTATCTCTAGTTCGATGGAATAGATTCGTTCAACATTGTCACCAAATTTTGTATTATTTAGCGAGAGAACATCATCTATATAATGGAACGTAAAGTTAAAGGATATTGCTAACTTCTTATCTTTCTTCCTAAGAAGTTCCTGTATGAAGTCAGCCTCATAATAATAAAGAAACAAGTCGGCAAGAAGAGGGACACAATTGGTTCCCATTGGAATTCCGACAGTCTGTTGTAAAACACGTCCTCCAAACGAAACAAATATGTTGTCAATCAAGAAATCAAGCATCTTGATAATGTCAGTTTCAGAGAATAATTTGTTTGAATCAGAGTGATTCTTTACAAAGTAGGATGTATCCCTCCCGAGGACAAGATACTTGTATCTACGTTCGCCATTCTTTTTAATGAAACAAAGTAATACCAACTCTTTCAATTTGTCTTTTAGTTTGGAATGGGAAATACTTGTGTAAAGTGTATGAAAGTCAAATGTTTTAATACTATTGCAAGATGAGAGAGTCTATGATTGTATGTACTCTAAACGATCCTTGTTTTAGTATCCACATCTGATTCACGCCACCTCTAGAATAGGCAGTTTCACTATAACTTTGGAGCCCGGCTTTGATTGCTTATAAAATAGATGTTAATAATTTAGAAAGGGGTTTTGTGGAGCACTTAGAAGACCCAGCAATATACCGTTGTTTGTAAGGACACTTATGTAGTTTAGGTATCCAATACAGTGATGGAAGATCCAGTTCTTCGTCTTTGGTTGAAATTCCAAAGGAACATAGAACAGACCTATGATTATCCAGGATTTCCTCTTTGGTAAGTGTCGTGAGGGTATATGTTGAGTTTCCAAGTGAATTGTCAATACCTAATTCATTTATCAAGCAGTTTATGTAATGATATTTACACACAAAAACGATGTTGTTATGGGCTTTATCTGCGGGGACAACAACATATTTGTCATGGAGGTAGTGTTTTGCAACATTTGGGTCTTTAAAAATTGTCGTAGCGTGGGTATTGATAGGCCCATTTAGTTTCTTAATTCGGATTTGTATCAACGACCTCACAGCCTTAATCCATTCGGAAAGAGTATCTACGTCTTCTCTCTAGCGTTTAGCCCATTGCCTGGCATAATCCTCGACTGAATCCATCAGTATTTTGAAGTTGTATTTCCAATTGATGGATTTAGGCTCACGATATTTCGGACCTTTGGATAACAAATTTCGCAGGGAAGTGTTTTTGACAATGTTGAGGTCTCCGGTAATAACGTGGCCAGCCGGATTATATGTGAATTGGGAACTAGCACAGGTGCAATCAGGAGGTTTAGACTTGAAGTCGTCATAGTTGAGGTCCTGCAAAACGTGTTTGTAATTGAAAATGTTAGTTGCAATTGGTCTGGTATAGGTATAAAAAACTATTGGTACAGACTGATCTTTAAAATAAGGAGGTATTTTCGACTTAACTAATTTATGATGAAGGATATTGAAGTTGACACCATCGAGACCTTTGTTGGCAAAGGAAAGTTTAAAAAAAGATCTTTTCTCTTTTTCATCTTTTCCAATGCAAACTGGTTTGAAAAGTCTGTGACTTGCAATATCCGAAATGATAGCTGTAAGTTTGTATTGGTTTGAATGAGGGTTTGTAACAGTGGTTTCCAAACATAAACTGAACAGAGAATGAAGTTTTGAAAGGGGTAGTGAATACAGTTTCGTGCGAATGTGATGAATACTTAACGGCTTTTGTATAAATGGCAGCAAGTCATTAATAGAGACATCATGCAAAGTAGGTGATGTATAATAACGATGACCATGACTGCGTCTACGAAGTATCATGGATCCTACTAAAATGTATTGCTACAAAGGATTTTACCGGATCTTGATATCAAAATCTCAACAAATAGATATCTCTACTAATAGATATTAGAAATCAGATATTTACTGGCGAAATCCTTGTTATACTTAGTTTTTTAGAAATTAGAATACCAACTCGTAGTATGCTAATTTTGTGTCCTTCTTAATTCTCATCTTTATTCATGTTATTATAACATATATGCGTAATCACTGCACAATTGTCGAAAGATTCAAAAGACGATATATACTATTCAAAAAATAAGACAGAAGATACCGAGAAGACAATAAGTTAGCACATATGGAAGAAAAAAACAGAGAGCACCATGCTAAAAAAGAAGCGAAACCACAAACATCAGTCTACAAAACACTTGACAGAAAAGAAAAACGAAAATACGGACGTAACAAAACAAACGGAGTGATCTGAAGTGATCACTCTTTTCTACTGGCAACCACCGTGGCAGGTTATCAGCCGGTGTAAATTGTTCTAATTTCTAATTTGTAAAAATTTAACTCAACTACTAGTGACGGTTTAAAAAAACTTAAGGTTATTGCATGAAAAATGTCATAACGGGAAGTTGATAAAGTACATGTTACTTAATAAACACATTCAATCATTAGAATAAAGTAAAAATAGAACTTAGGGAAAAGGACTAGTATTCTTACACACATCTTGTAATTTGTTGTTATTACCAGGTCAATGTCCAGTCAGGAACCGAGTAATTGTTTTTTTTTTTTTTTTTTTTTTTTGTTGTTGCTATTTTCAATGTATTTGTAATTTGGGATATACATTGTTGATAGGAGATATTTATAAGTCGCTATAACATTTATTCAGATCACTTTAAATATTTAAACTGAGAGTCAATTAAAAGTTAACTTCAGATTCCTTGTTTGTGTCATTAGCTGTGTGACTGTTACATATATTTACTATGATTCAATTTGTTGTCACTTTCTTATACGTGTGAGTCCGGTGGTTCATTTTGTGCCGAGTTGTTGTCTGTTTATTTCGTTTGTGGTTTGAATGTTGTTTTTTCGGTACATTTCACATATGTCTTATTTGTCAGTATAGTCAAGTTACTCGTAGTTCGTCTACATGGTTTTTGTTTTATGTTGTTTGTTTTCATGTATGTTTACTGTTTGGTCTTACATGATCTTGCCTTATATAACAGTAATTTTATTTTTATTTTCTATATGCATGTTAATGTTAAGATAAAAAAATCAGCAACTTCATTTATATGATTTTAAGTTTAAAGCAACTTCTTTATATTCAGAAATTATTGCGAAGTTTTTATAAACGCGAGTAATGCGACTTTGTGAATACGGCAATAATAAGACCTTGCATTCTGATATCTTATACATATATCTGTATGCAGATTTTCCTGAAATCGCAGTAATAAATCTCGCAATTTTGTTCACTTTTCAAAAATCACAATAATAGATGCACGTAATAATTTCTGAATTTACAGTATTTTGATTTAGAAGAAAGACCGACATGGTTAGAAAATACAAATAATAACACCATTTTAAACCCAATTTCATTTTAATATTCTTGTCATGGATAGAAAATACATAAAATAACACCATTACAAACTCAATCCCAATTTAATATTATGTACGTGTCTATGAATAAAACAATTTAATTTGTTTTTTAGAAATTTACCTGTGATAATATAAACGTCACAAAAAATACGTCACTTTTTGTGACGTTGATCCATTCATGAGACAGGCAGTTTATATTTCGTTTGTGGTGTCCTGGTGTGCTGTCGTAAATTCATGGGAGGTGTCCGTTGTGATTCTGCTCTTTACATGTTGTAATGTACTAATATATTATTTATTTATGTATTTCTCTGTGCTGAGTGTTCTTGCGTTTGTTTGAACTGTATTCCTGTCACGTAGTGCAGTCATTTTAGCGGTATTTTTAACATTGCCATATAAGCGGGAGGTTTTGCTACCCATAAAACTAGGTTCAACCAACCATTTTTTCTTAAAATGTCCTGTATATATGTATAAAATATATATAAAATATGGCAGTTGTGATCACAGTCCGTTTCTATGTATGTTGGCGTTTGCTTTTGTTGTAGTTCAGTGTTTCTGTTGTTCCGTTGTTTTCCTCTTATAGTTGATGTTTTTCCCTCGGTTTTAGTTTGTTACCCGGATTTGCTTTTGCTTAATCGAATTATGAATATTAAACAGCGGTATACTAACATGTCTGTAGTTGTGAAACATAATAACGTTGTTACAAGTATCAAAGTATCTAATGCTTGGAGTTGTAGCTTAATTTTAATAGACTTAATATGTAATATATGTAATATGTTTTGAAATTAAGATTCTTATTATAACAGAACAATGCATTCCTGAAAGCTGACTTTAAAGCTCAGCATAAGTAAACAATGAACAGATCCACCTTGATAAGAGAAATATTATATGTACAGGTATATCAAATGTTATAATAAACTCAAAAACGTCAGGACTAGATCAGTACTCATTACTCACAATTTAAAAGCAATTTACTATTTAGTCTGGAATTTCGTTACAACAAATCACTTGACACATTTATTTCATAAATACAAAGATTTGGAAGTTTGGTTGTACCTGTAGGCAACAGATATAATTACCTACAAGCTAGATATCACATCCATATTTTACGACGATTTGTATACAAAGTTCATGAATTTATATACGACCCATGTACAACTACTGATACTTTGAACATGTATTCATTCTGAAAGGTTAGCAACTGTATACTGTATACAGAACTTTGGATATTGTGTTTATCATGTTTATTAGTACTAAATACTCCTTACGGATACCCATGCTTATTATTTGTTACACAAGACGCGCGTTTCGTCTGTATAAGACTCATTAGTGGCGCTTCAACTAAACATTGATTTTATTTTCAATAAATTAAATGAAAAATAAGTTTGTATATCTATAATGGACATGTTTGATGCCTTTTGCTACTTATGGCTTGGTTTTGCACAATGACATATTTTTGGTAAACTGTTTATATCGTCTTTATAATTCATATGTTGGATGTATACTGATTGATAATTATGTCTTGGAAACCATCGTTTATGTATTAGTAACAGTTGGCTCTGAACAAGTGTTTAGTAACTGCGAATACTCATATATCGGTGCAATGTCTTTTAAGGTTTTTTTTTATTTATTTTTGATATGAGGAGGTTTTGTGCTAATCTGATGAGTCTAGTTATTTCAAACTGATATTCACAGTCGTCGGTCTTAAAGTGTGCTGTTACACCACTATCCAAAAAAGTAAAACAAAAATACCGAATTCCAAGGCAATTCAAAAAGAGGAAGTCTATAAAAACTGACAAAATCAAAAGTTATCCATCGACGACACATGTAAAAAACCACTGCCATATTCCTGACTTGGTACCTGCGTTTTCCGAAGAATAATACATATATCCATAGTAAGGGGAAGGTTGGATGATCATACACATTTTCAAAACTTTGAGTTAATGTACCAAATCAAAAGTCCGTATTATATTTGCTGTTTGTCATTTTTTTTTTTTCATTGTTTTATGTACAACTTTTTTGCAAGGTCTAACCACATCTCCTTTTATATACTTAATCAGAAAACAGTCAGTGGTAGTCATTATCATATTTTGATATTTTTGACATTTGAAATTTAACATGTTTAAAGCCTCTGAAATGCTTATAATTTGACTTACGGTAAATACGATTTTGTGATGGATTAAATACTATATGTTGATCTCTAGAATTTAATTATTTTTTATAGAGATGGTGTCTCATTGACTTTAAACCATATAGCTCTTTTTACTTATAATTAAACTTCTCGAAGATACCAGACCATTACTACAGTACGACAGACGCGCGTTTCGTCTACAAAAGACTAATCTGTGACGATAAAATCAAAAGTAAAATGCCAAATAAAGTACCAAGTTGAAGAGCATCGAGGACAGACTATTCATTTGACAGTATTTTACCTCCGGTATTTCTAGTCCTCACTTCTTCTTTAATGAACTCATTCTCCTCCAACGTTTCCAATTCCGCAAGCTTACCTCCCAAGCGTTCAAAATTTTCCTAAAACCATTTTAGAACAAAGCTTAAAATAAATTGCATTTAAAAAGTAAATCACGTTAACCATATATCCTGCTTTTTACTAAACTCATTCTATTTCACTGCAAGTAGAGCGATGATATATTATGAATTTGGCCTACAGATAAACAGGCGGGATATCTGCAAAGGCGCATCGGACGCACAAAATCTATCAGTGGTTATTTTCATGTTCAACTGCCCTGTGGTTTTGATCAGGATCTACATAAAGACATTTACAAATGAAGATGCTATTTCCTGTTTTTGCCCCATACACGTTACATATACACGTCAATTTGTGTACAAGTTGAGTAACATACTGGTGTATGCTACAGATATTCCTAGCATCTATCAAACAGTTTCAACAGATCTGCTGTCGGAGTCGTTAGAAATACAGTATATAGGTTAGTTTTGAACAGAAACCATTAACTTTCATAATGAGTGTTAATTGTTTGCTAATGCTGACAAAGTCAAAGTAAAAGGAAATACTTGATAAACCTATATAAATTGGACAGTATTCTAAAGATGATCATAAATTTATTAGGAAAAAGCACATCATGTTAAAAAAAACATTGAGGAAATCCAATAACTCCATAAGGAGTGAGTCAATTTGCGTCGTCAGGGTAAGTGTCTCTTTGCATGCAAGCATCACCCACTTTTCATCACCACATAATGTATCGGTCAACGAAGTATATTCGTGATAGTGACCGTATAAATAATTTTGTGTTGATTTCAGTTGTTCTTCCTCATAACTCCTTTGAAGCAGCTTTTGTGTCAGGAGCACAGCACTGTAAATGAAGTCCGTATAGTTTGAACATGCACGAGAGTAACTTTTAATTGAGATATGGTAACGTCATATGATAGGTCAGAGGGTATGTAACTGCTGAGAAATTTAAAGTTGAAATCATCACGTTTGTCATAAATTCTAGTTTGAAGTCGACCTTCTGTGACATATAAAACCCGTAAACCTTTGGCAAGGGGACAACCCTCGCAAATCCTTTACAACATGAAGCAAAGTGCAAACCGATCAAACAGTTACACAATTTCATTTAAACATTTTTGTAATATGGAGAAAAATTTAAGAATAAAACAAAACCAACAGGCACCAAACGTGTGCCTTAGATTTTCGGGAAATGACATAATTACACTATCATACAAAATGTGTGTTTTAACACCCATTTGTGCTGATTGATAAGTTGAAGAATATGACAGAATCATTGTTATATAGTACGTGGGATCCATATTTCAATTCAATAGAAAAACAGGAAAGTCAATTAATTCTTTCGTTATCATTCAATGAAAGTTATTTATTACATTTCTTTAATAATACCCTTGCAATATTTTGTCACGTTTTTATGTTAAAAGAGAGTAACTAATCTAAAAGTTAAAGTATAATTCAACCAAGTCAACTTCCAATAGCAGAACGTTTATACTTCAGGAAAATATTCAACGACGTGGTTAAGACATTTTCAAAAAAAAAAAAATTGCCGGTTAAACCTGGTTTTATATCTAGATAAACCTCCCGCAGAAAAGCAGCTCAATAGCTCATATTCATGAAGTTTGATTTTTATTTTTCATTGATAACACAGGAATAAAGTATATGTCATTGAGGACATGTCATAGTATTTTTTTTGCAAAGATAATTAAATGTGGATATCCATTTGAATTTTAAACATATATTCTGTCAATTCTGTATTGTCAATAACATGTCAATATTCAAACTGAGAAAATTTTAAACTTACCTTTGCTTTGTCCCATCCTATATGCTCCTCAAAAATAGAATACGAGGAATTACCAAAGTTAATGCATCCTGTATATGTGATTGGAACTAAAAATACATATTAAAGATAGTTAGAATTAATTGTTAAATATTGTGTGGTTTATGATAAGTCATGCATTTTCATCATTTCTTCAAACCTTGTTTATTAGGTTTCGGTTTAAAGCTCACCAACAAAATCACTTTTCTCCATTTTGTTCTTTTTTTTGTTCTTTTTTTTTTTTTTTTTTAAATATGTATATGTAAAAACGCTAATCCTTTCATAAATCGTCATTGATTTTACTCATGGATATGTCATGCTAAACGATGAGATGCTGATAACCAAGTCATTACCGTAACAAAAAAAAAGAAAATATCATTAATATACGATACATATATAATGTTATTCTGTGTACTTAAAAAGGATTTTAGGCGAAATTTTATTGCGCTAACTTTTCACACACGAATGTTATACAGGAAACTGAATAAAGATTTGAAAAACAAATACTCAATAAATATATATGTAAAGTGTCACCAGCATATCTTTTGTATGAAACGATTCCAATTTTCACTAGAGCATTTGTTATCCTTTTGCATTCATGTTGCAACGCTTGACTGCTAGTCCAAGGGTTGAAGTGACGATTTCCGATGGCTTGCTTGTTTATCAACTTCGTCCAAAAGATGGCATATTGGTCTAAAACCTTGCGACTTTGAGTGCTTTGGCAATTTATTATTGTTGTTCTGAGAGTGGGAATCTCTTGTTATCCTTCCTTTCTGTTCTTTTGAAATATATCCCACTGTAAATATCTGACTTCATATATCGTCTCTATAACGTTGATTTGTTAAGTTTCTTTTGACCCGCATTAGGTTTCTTCGGCAATTGTCAACTTATTTCACTTCTAGCGCCAAATCAGTCAACTTCCTGTACACAGACAGAAACAAAACACTCATTTCGTCAACTGTTTACGTGGGATCGTCTATCAAATCGCTGAATAAACAACTTGAACCATCACTGAACTGGGCCCTCAATGTATAGCACCAACAGAACGATGCTCGTCCTTGTTTAAAACCTTTACCAATGTAAGTTTTTATTGATCAAATTACGCGTTCCATAACCCTGTAACGAACTGTTTAGATGGAAGTTTTCTGCAAACGTTAAATGCCAGCAGTGATTGAAGTGAATGTTCGGATGACGTACAGTTGGGTCAGACCAAGCATAACATAATGTAAAACGCATGTTAATGCCGCGTGCACATATTTCATTTGTTAAGTTCAATTTTCGCGTTTACTAGTAAACTCGTGTTTACTGTAATTACGTTAACTCGATCAAAATGGAAATTTCTAATATCTACTCGAGTAAACGCGCGTTTACTCTTTGTCCGTTTAGTCAGTAGTTAACTGTCGTTTACTACCGATTTTACATCTTTACCTGTGAGTGCACTTATAAAACTCGTGTTTACTCTTCCTGTTAACTATTTGTGAAAATTATAAATACACTTGTTTTTCTTGTTAGAATGCTTTTAATTTTCAAAGTTTGAAAATAAAACCATAACAATTTTTTAAAGTGTGTTTTATCCATTTTAATGAACTATGTTAGTCTTCATTTTAATAACATATAACATTTTCATTTTCTTTATTTTCATTGGCGTTTTCATATGTTGCAAATGATAAGTAAATAAAGTATTGCTAAAAAGTTATTTTCAGAAATCATTGAATATTTATATACTGCAAAACTTCAAAAAAACGAAAGTTTTATATGTTGTCAACAAAATTCATGACGGCAGATTAAACTGGGAATGGGTCCAAGACTTAGAATACAACAGACGACTTAAAAATTATCTATGAAATTTTGTTTTCAGACAATACCATCATTTCAAAATATTTGCCGTAGTTCGTGGTTTACTGCATGCTAAAATGATTTTGTTGATCGACCTATATATACGATGTATAATGTCAATTTTATTAAACTTTTTCATCCATTCAGACCACAGATATGACTTTTTATACAAAACAAATCCATCGAAATAATTCCTTCTCTTTCATGTCAAACAATCCACCCTAAGATATAAAAAGAGATTTTATCAGGCTAGTACAAGCTTTTCGTATATAAAGAATGGTTGGAGCACCTGGATATACCGATCTTTGGCCAGAGTATTGGGGCGTGGTCTTCGACGCCTATGACGATCTTGAACTGATTCAATTTGATTTAATCTTTGTCAAGAAGTCAAAATCTGCTATAGTGAACGATGAATTGTAACCTTCATTTTAAAGTCTGAATAAGAAAAAAAGTGATGGAACTGTTCGTACCAACATTTTGTATTTTAGAAACTTCGTTGATATCGCAATGCTAATTACTAGTATTTGATTATGTGATGTTCATTTATTGATTGTCAAATGATTCGGGAAAATGCACTTCTTTTTTGCAGAGTATAAATTTGCTGTCAAAAAACATATATAGCTTAAGCTTTCAGCGAGTACGAATAATTTTTTTTTTATTTTCCGACATTGCACAGAAGTACTTAGTTTCATGATATATCACTGTCGCTAGCTTTTGTAGGAATTTCGTGGACGGGGTATGTTTTCTTAGACGGGGATCGCAGAGTGAACCTTTCCTGTACACATTGGTAAGACTGTAACTATATGTCCAAGCCACAGTTTGAATCTTGTTTGTATTCTGAGCTGCCTTTATCCGACTCAAATAAGATAATCCGATAAACTGTGTGTAATATGAACATTTAAACCTGAAAGGACACCGGCTTACAATTAATCCTAATTTTTGTTGAAATAAATGAGACTCGAATTATGTTTAATTGACTCGCATTTTGTGTTCGAACGCAAAGTGAAGTTAACTTTCTATCTTGAGACTGTAAATACGGCATATGTACAGAGACACGATACATTTGCTATTCTGACGAAGCAACCACAGTGGATGTTTTTAAAAACCGTCTCCCATTTAGCATCGAGGAAATGATTGAGAGAGTTCAAGTAAAAGTTCTTGATCCTCAACAAGTAATACGCAAGCTGTCGTAGTATTGATACTGTTTATAATTAAGGCGAATTTATAATTAATTTTTTTTACTGGAATACTCAAATTGGAGTTAATTCTAAAGTTTGAACCGGGACAATTGATTCAAGATAAATATTCCGGGCTTGACCCAGTGCAGATTTCAAAGTGTAGAGACGGTAAGTGATAAAACATGATCATGGGCTAATGTAGAAGCAGAATACCATGGCCAGAAGACAACAACAATATTGAGCAGATCTATAAGTATGCATGTATTTTACAGTAGAATTGTGCAATACAGTGTCCCTATATCTTAAATGTATAATTGAAAATAAAGATATGTTCAATAATTATCAGTTCACATGTTTATGATTGGCGGTTTCCGTAAAACAAAACAACAACCCAAATAACATGTTATGTTTTGTACCTATTCCATAAAATCAGTTAAAAATACGGATATTGTGTTATTAAATTTTGCTGTTACCAAATTTAGGAAATATTTTAAATTAAGGAATATGTATCTCCTTCATGCAAAGCTTAGATTTCTCGCTCGATTTTGCCTCTTTTTTTGTCCTTTTTGGTTTAACAGTATTCTTTGGTATTTTTTTTTTTTTTTTCAAATGTTTTGGCATCGATTATCACTGGAGAGTCTTATTACTTTTCTGTGACCCTATTTGTCAATAAATATTGGGAATGGGAAAACTGGTTAACTAATTTAAGTCATCAATTTATATTAAGTTTATAAAAATGATATAGCAAGAACATTGATAAAGCTGCTTACGCTCTCATCCCTTATGAAAAAACCATTTATTGAAAAGAGTCCAATACCAGCATATCAACGCAAAATACATATCACTTTTACTTACGATAAGAGTTTCGTTGAATAGACCGCCATCCTTCTAGGGTTTTGGTTTCAACACAACATCTCCCAGACGAATCAATACGACATGTTGATGTTCCTTTGGAAAAGCTCGCCATACAGCAGTGATGATCTGATAAGCATATATGTGCACATGAAATCATCGACTTCGAGTAAACATCAGTGGTGTTTTCGGTCGGTAGAACTCTAGTGCTGCCTTTAGTTTTAAACGTTTCCGTACTTACGTCTTTTTCATTTGCGTTTACTACGTTGAACATACGTATTGTAAGAAAAAACAAAACTGCACAATAAGGAAAACAGCAAATTCTCATAATCATTCAAGTATATGTTTCAGAATTACTATTATGAAGTTTGACAAACTAATGTCGACTTTAAAATAAGATTTTCTAAAATGCTAGATTTTGTTAAATAAGTGTTCCTAATATAGATTGGTTGCCAAATACAACTACATTGTTATATAACATTAAATGAGATACCACAGTACAGATTCATTTATCAGTCGATTCAATTTAAACGAAAATATCATAAACCAACATTTAAAACACGGAATTTTGTCGTACAAACAAATGCTGATGTCAATATCAGAACAACTATAAGGAAGTCAAACCTACTTTTCGTCTAAATTTGAAGTAGTTTCCATGTGTTTATAAAAATCTTAAGCTCACATTTTGGTTCTAGTTTCCATATTGTAAATAACTAGCCCATGGAATAATAACGATTATAATTCACTTACAAAAAATGACTTTTGTCGAGGAGGTCTAATTTTCAAGAACAATTATAAGGAAGTTGAAAATACAATTTAACAGAGAATGGAGTACTTTTTTTTCATTAGAGAGAAACTGGATAAAGCTAACTTTTTAGTTCTTTGTGTATTTCTATATTCAAAAAGGTCTTCATTTGATAAATATTTGCATTGAAACTACTAACATTATTTTGATAAATCAGGCAAAGGATTCTTTAAATAATAATGCCTAGTCTTTAATGGTTGTGCGTTGCAATACATCATTGATACTTACTGCGTCATAATTGAAAACATTGCCTTTAAAAAAAAATTAAAAGATATAAAGGAAAGGTCGTTGTAATATTGAAAAAATGATAATTCAATTTCAATAATAACGAACTAAAACAAGCATTATACATAATGCACAATAGTGATTTTTTTTTCTAACTGGCATTATACCATCAAGTCTACCTTTATTATCAGACAACTTAGGATTCCTTCATCTACGTACTATTTCGTCTTATCTGAAATTTTATTAATTGTGTATTTTTCTCGATTGTTACATTGATATGTTGATTTGCTACTATGGTCCAAAAAATAAAAAAGTTCGTTATTCGTTTTGAAAAGGATAAACATTCTGATTTATTTTGGTATTTTTCCACTCTGTTCATAAGGAAACGACACATATCAGCCCCATCTGAACGCCAGATATTTAACTTCTACAATAACCTTGTAAACCTTAGGTTCATTATATCATCCATGGTTAGAATCCGCAGGTGATTGAATAGAACCTATACGCAAATGTTATAATGTTAAACCTTCAACCGTTTTTAAAGTACCGATCATTCATGATTTAGTCGGGGGTGGTATTTCTTTATTTTTTTATTTTGAACAATTTTGAAAAAATATATTTTAACAAAAAACCGCATGTGTTTATCTATTGAAACAAAAAAAATAGCTTATTCTGACTATATGATAAAAAAAAACTAAATTTGAGTCAAATATCTAAAATTAGGATACCTTTCATCTCTAAAGTAAAAACATGCAGTTATAATTTTTATTGTTTATTTGAATTGAACCGGTAAAAATAGATTTTACGAAAACTTTGGTAAAAAATCACAATTGGATCAAAACTGTATCGGATGATCTTCGGGTTATGTTCTCATTTTAAAAGTCATGTATACTGATAATAAAATCATCATTATTGAATAAACTTTAAAATTGAAGCCAGATTGATTTTCAATAGATCTATAGTTTTGTATCACCTCAATTCAAAGTATTTAGTATCAAATAACAGTAGAAAACTACATGGAATAGTCACAGATTTATACAGGTACTAAAACGCTATTAGATATAGTCAAAGACAGGCATTGTCAATTATTTATCAACCTTTATATGCAATTTGTCTTTGCTTGATATATAGTAGTATTCATAAAGTGGTTATGACAGTTTATCACATGTATTAACATCCACTCAAAACTTTGTTATATTTAACAATAAGGAACATTTCATATGTATCTATCATTATTGAAAAAAATCATTTTCATGACTGGCAAACCATGAAATCTCAACGAAAATGTTTAGCGAAAACCAAATTTATTCGGACTTTCTTGTCTGGTACATAATGCAGATATAAGGACAGCAAGTTGGATTGTCAACAATATATTGTAAACCAGAAATAATTTTAAATTAATATTAGAATTTATGTTATAGATAAGTGAATGTCGTTCATTACAATTATTTACGAAACACCTTTTATTGATATTGATTTGAAATACTTGATGTTGTGAAAGTTACCTTTTAATCAACAAGTGGCGATTTGTTGCAAAGTCATTTCTTACTTTTGCTCGTTATAACGATTAAAAGGCGTTTATTCTTTAAATTTATTTACTGAACCAATAATGCGAATTTCAACAGTTAATCTAGGCCAACATATTTAAAAATCTAAAACTTAATACAAACATTGAAGAGTATTTAAGGATGAAAAATTATATTAGCAAATGATAAAATTACAGAAAGAAGTGATAGTTCTTAGCGTAATGAACTAATAGAAATTTAACGGAACAATTGTCTTCAAAAGAAAAAAAAACTCTTTGTAGAATATGATACAATAAAATTTTAGAAGTCTACTGTCATACTCGAATCTGAGTTATAACGAAAAAATTTGCGAAATAATGTAAACCTTTCCGTTATAACGCAAACCTTTGCGAAATAACGGAAACCTTTGCGATATAACGCAAACATTTGCAAAATAACACAAACCTTCCCAAACCGAAGATGTAAAGTCTATAGTACTGAAAATGTAAATTCTAGCACTGATGACGTAAAGTCTAACGCTGAAGAATTAAAGTCTAGCGTTGTATACGTGAAGTTTAGCGCTTGCGATTATAAGTCAATCGCTTAAGATACAAAGTATAATGCTGAAGAAGTCCATCTCTGAGGAATCTAAAGTCTAGTGATACAGATTTAAAGTCATGGCTACAAATGTAAAGTCTACCGCTGTAGATGCAAAGTCTAGCGTTGAAGATTAAAAGTCCAGCGCTGAAGATATTTATCCAGTGCTGAAAAATTAGAGTCTAACACTGAAGATTTAAAGTCCAGCGCAAAAAGATAAGATATTACCTTAAAAAAACAAACCTTCCGTGGTTATCAATTTCTGCAGTGTGATGTTCAAAAATACTTTTAATCTTAACTAATCCTAACTTTAATATGCGTGACAGAACTGTACGTCCGGGAATATTACGCTTAGAAACATTGTGTCAGTAAATGTTGATAAGTAGCATTGGCAATTTGCAAACATTCTTTTCACATTCATTTATGAAACAGAAGAAACATTATATCTATATATTTAGATCAGAACATATTTTGTGTTTGTGTACTCATATTTCATTTATACAGAGCCCTATAGTTCTCGTACAGATAGAGAGTTGTGGTATTTATATTCAAGCACTTGCGTTGAAAAGTCTAGCGCTGAATGTTTAAAGTCTAGTGCAGAAGATGTAAAGTCTAGCGCTTGAGATATATGTGTATGTGTATAGCGCTGAAGATTTAAAGTCTAGCGTTGAAGACTTGAAATTTAGCGCTTGAGATTAAAAGTCGAGCGCTGAAGATAAAAAGACTAACGATGAAGTTTTAAAGTTCAGCGCTGAGGATTTAAGGTCTGGTGCTAAAGATGTAAAGTCTAGCGCTAGCTGAAGATGCAAAGGCAAGTGCAGGAAAAGTTAAGTCGAATGCCGGAATTTACAGTTTAGTTCTGAAGATGTAAATGTACATTTATATTCGACTCTTAAAAGGGTTTCTCAACACATTCAAAAAACAATGTGACACATACAATATATATGTATGTGTATAGTAACCTAAGTCCATATCAGCTTCTTTCGTAATAATGAATTGAATTCTGAATTACGAATTTCTTTAAATCGCTATAACAGATTTAAGATTTGTAATAACAAATTCTAAATAAGTTATTAAGAATAAAATTGGAAATAACATTCATACGATTTCAAAAAAATCGCTAATCTCTAATTTCTATGATTACGAATCTTCCAAAATTGTGTGAAACATGTATCGTATTGTCAAATTCATTTGAAAAAAAAATTTAGTAATCCTGAATCCTTAAATGCTTTATTTCGAATCTTAACCCGGGATAACGGATTTATTAAAATAGTAAAAAAATATTTATAAATTATCAGATTTGAATCGGAAATCCAACATTAAATGCGTTATTTTGATTTGTAATTTCAAAATAAATCTAAGAAAACTAAACGGTGCTTTTGGTCAAAAATTGACATTTTCGAGCTTTGGCTGATGGACAAATATGGCTCAATTGATCAAGTAAATTAACTGTCATTTATCACCAGCCAAATTACCTAAAAGACAGAAATCCAATGGATTTGCTTCTTTTGGTGATGACGTTTCTCTTTGAAATCGATTTCTAATGGATGAAGTGTATGTATGTGTGGAGGGAGGGGTGATGAAGGTGACAATATCCAAAGTATTTTTAAATTTGAAATTAAAGTAAAGTCAGGTCATTTAAGAGATGTGTCCTGAAAGCCTCGTAACCAAACGGACATGTAGTCTTGCAAATCCTATTTTTGAAATTACATAATATAGTATCACTTTTTCCATGAATGAAATATAGAACCAATATTAAGAAAGAAAATTAAGAAAATTTACATTTGTTGCACATTTTCAAAGAAAATAAAAACTGTCGAGGAAAAGGGGGAGGGGACTTTTCTTGATATATGTTACAATTCTTCCCATAAAGACGATTTAATTGCAAAAACAGTTTTCAGAGGTAAAAGAAGAGGCATTTTGTTTATGCTATTTGATCTCTAGGGATTTAATTTGAACATGTTAGCAAGTAACAGAACTTCGCTCACATTTTTCTTCGTTCTCAAAAGCTGGGAGTCGAAAATTAATACAGATAATATAAATTTCAGAAGCAAAACACACAACAGAAAAAAAATATTAAAGAACGGTTGGGTTTTTTTAATTCTTATATTCGACATTTTCACTTTTA